TTTTTTTTTTTTTTTACACGTTATTCTGATGAGTATATCCAGGTAAACTACAAATTTTACACCTGGATCTATTCTCACACTCTGCAGCAGGTCTGACAGCTGCTTCAGCAGCATGTGGTACCACCAGCGCAGGACACAGTTGGAAAAATACTGTGCCAAATCTTTGTCTAGTGTAATTCAGTGTAGTTCTACTGACCTTCAAGGGAATCACATTATTTCCCTTTATTTGGAGGTTTGATTCATTACACCCCAACGTGAACTCCAAGGGTATCTGGCAGAGCTGGACTGTAGCCACCGCTGGATGGCTTAGCCAAGGGGTGAAACAGTTTTATGAAATTCTTAGTGAAGACATGAGGTCAAAATCTCTGAGTTGTGCCTCACCGACTGCAGAATCACATTTGCAGAATCACATTTGCAGAATCACATTTGCAGAATCACATTTGCAGAATCACATTTGCAGAATCACATTTACCGTTACAGCTTTTCCTTGAACTAAATTACTATGAACACCTGAAGCACAGAAAATAGGAAACCACTGTTCACACCCACTTAGTTTTCAGATGATGTACAAACAGGAAAAGATATTTTAACCACATTGTGATAAGCACATATAACTGAGACTTCAGGCTTCTATCATCAAGAACCACAACCTTTATATTTCAGCTTTTGCCACTGTGATGCTAGTTAAGTGTATAACCAAGTATCCTGTCAGAATGCAAGCCCCTAATGAAGTGAAGGGGACTCTTGCAGGCAAGGCTTAAAAATTCCCAGCATCATAAAACATTTCTCTGATTAGACTCTCCTGGTTCATACAGAAAGACAGCTAACCAAGCGAAAGGTCAGTGAAGTCACAAATCCTCCACTCTTAGTGCTAACAACGCCCAGTTTAAACAGCCATTATCCTTACCTTGGAAGTTCTTAAGTTCTGCGTTGAGAAAGAGGTGATGGTGGCCTGGTTTCTTTAGATGTTGCCCATATGGACAGTGAAAATACATGTCATGATTGCTGAAACAGTTACTACAAAATGATCTGATGTTATTTATTTAAAGAGTTTTCGCAGTAAAAACTTTACAAGTTTTCTACTTTGAAATAGAAAATTTAAAAAAAATCACTGTTAAATCCAATTTAAAATAATAATATAAAACTGCTATTTCAATCAGGTCATTATAAATACATCATGAACCAAGTAGTTCCAAACTATGTTTACACTGGAAGTGCATAACATCACTACAAAACCCAGCCATTTATTTTAAAACCTGACATTCATATCAAATCACTGATTCTTAAATACGGCAAGATTGTATTAGTACAAAAATAACACGACTGAACACCACAAAACGTACACCGCACAAGTATTTACTGCACTATTTTTTTCACATCTCACAATCTCCTTTACGCTGCAAGTCTGCTAAGCACAATACACCTTCGTTTGAACAGGAGATCTCTATCAGTTCCAAGGAACCTTCCTCCCCAAGACACGGTTGGTGATTTTCTGAAAGATAAAAACAAAGCGAGAGAGGTAAGTATTATTCGTCTAAAAATTTAAAAAGCTAAGCATGAGGTTATTGTTAGTAAGTTTTCTGAACAGAATACCAAGGGGTAATAGAATACGAAGAAAAAGCTATTATTACCTTTTAGGACAGATAAAGCAGCCCCGGTTTTTCTCACTCATGAATATGGAAACTACCAGAATACTCCTGGGCTGGCTGCTGTGGAAGCGGTGAGGAACATCTAAAGAGTCAGAATACATCCTGACCTTGGCAGGACAGATTGTTTCCTTAAAACATGATGCATATCTCTCCCTTCACCTTCTGAATCCAGACTTCTGGGAGTCACGTGTTCCCCAGATTGTGACACATTTATGAAAGGACACAGGGAAAAGTGGACGGAGAAGAGTAACAAGCATAGTGGAAGGTACAGCAAGTGTTTTCTACAATAAACAACTGAATAAATTAGGACTCTTCACCATAGTGGGAGGGATGAGCCATGACTGGAGCGGAAGAGAGGAAAGTCTGTACAATCCTAAGCAGCCTGAAGCAGGTGAAAAGTAATGTTATTTGCTGACTGTTCAAAAAATAATCTGGGGAGGCACTGTATAAAATAACTGGTAGTAGATTTTAAAGAAGCAAAACCAAAAAACCCACAGAATACTCTTTGAAAAGAGTCACCGCCCTGTGCAGTTAAACTGTGGAACTCTGCCCTGCGGTGCTGTGAACACCAGATGAAGCAAGTGGACAAATTCATGAAAGGGAAAAAAAAACAAACAAAGAACCCAAACCAAACCCACCAATGCAAAGATGGATTCAAAGCCCCTTGGTCACAAATCTCACCAGAGTCTTTGAGTATCTGTAGGAAGCACTGCTAATGGTGGCTCTGTTAGGGTGTTCTTCCCCAGCGACCTGCCCTTACAGTGATGGGCAATCCTCATCACTGTGCCAGCTCAGCCAGCAGATCGCTGACGCTGTGAACGTGTGGAATACACATTACGTGGCTTTAGAGGAGTGGAGGATAAAGGAAAAGCTTTGGGCAATTCATATATTACTAAGAGCAGTGGGAATGATACAGCCATTACCTGAGGAGACCTTCTGCATCACAGATGAAGGCAAGACGCAGCTCAGCTATTTATACGAACGCAGAGTATGCCGTGTGTGTGTACACGCTACAAACACATATATAGTGCATAAACCAGCACAGAATATACTCTGCTTACACACAGACGTAGAAAAAGCAAAGCTGCTGACACGAATCTCAGTGTGGAATCTGCCCTCAGTACTTCACAAAGCCTCAGAAGGGCTCAAAACGTCTCACACCACGAAACCTCTGATCAGTCCTCTTGGCTCGCAGGCCCTTTTGCAACCTCATCAGCAAACCCAGACGGCAATTAGATGTTATCTGGCTTCTTTGCTCCATTTCCAGGAAGCGGGTACAAAACAAAAAAACTCTAACATGTCACTGAGAGGAGGGAAAATGTAGCCAAGGGGATGAAAAACAAACATTAACAGAAAGATTTACTGTAAAGTAACAAGTGAAGTGCAATTTAGTCTCACACCTCTCCAAGGATGTGCTTTTTCCTTGGGGGTAGTGACACCTTGTGGCCCCTACCTTGTATAGGCTCTAAGGACACATCCCCTCCATACACAAAAGAGTGTTTAGTGTTCCTGAATGCTTCATTTATCCTTTTTTAAGGGATAGAGGGAAATAGATAAAACAATAATTTCGCTATCCCCTTTATGGAGGTTTCTCCCATGCTTCCTATTTATAAAAATGACTACATCTAATGGAGAAGCTTCAGGAACAGAACAAATTTGCATCTGATAAACTCACCAAATTCATTTTCATTTCACTGGGGTTGAAAGAGTTCTGATTTATGCTGCCATCAGATCAGAAAACTGTCTCAACTACACAGTTTCCAAAATTAAAAAGGGCATGCACCATCCCCTTATCTGATGAATATGATTTTATGCTCTATTTGAAATTAAAAGTACAGAAGCAAAGGCATACTGTGACAGAATATCAGCCCAGCCCCACGTGCATCCTGCGACAAAAATAACTTTGCTGTCTTAATAAAGTATTTAATGACTCGAAAAATTAAGAATGCCTGTGCTCTCATTCGCCTTCCAGCACAAGGATTTGGGTAAGTTTCCAGTTATACATGAGCCCATGCTGTTTCCTTCCGAGGGTGCCCTCAAGTGAAGGTAAGGAAATTTTATTCATATCTATTCTCTTCATATATATTCACTAATTCAGGGGCTTATTTTGAGCCAAATAAGCTCAGTTGCATCTCATCCCTCAACCTAGACACAAAGATCATTATTCTCGATTCCCTCCAGCTAACGACGAGACACACGCTGCCTCCAGAGAGCAGTATGTCCCACACAGTAGCTCACACTGGAAACACACAAGTAAGTTTGTTTGTTTTCTCCTTACAAGACATTTCTAAGGTGGTGGTGTTCATTTTTCTTCTTGAAGCACTGGTCCACAAGTTACATCAATATGCAGTTATAGCTAACATGCCTTTAAATTCCGGAGTGAGGATACTTCAGCAACACTTACCCGTGCTTACGTACGTACAGATATGAGTATGGATCACAGAATCACTGAGGCTGGAAAAGCCCTTGCAGCTCCTCCAGCCCAAGCATGACCCTCCCCCTGACCGTTCCCAACTCCCCCAGATCCCTCAGCGCTGGCTC